TTCGGATATGTGGTTATGTTATTGTATGTGCCAAAGGATTTAATATCTTTTCTATTCCTAGTGTGACTTGACTAGTTCAAATCTATTAATTAAAGCTCTACTTCCTCTCCATTCTCCTTATCCGACTATCACTATTTTTTTTAAAAAAACTTTGTTAACAATCAACATCTTTCGGGAAACAAATATAACACAAAAAAATTCTTTTAAAAAAATATAGCGAAGAAAGAATTGAGCAAGCAAAAAAAAAAAAACATATAACAAAGAAAGAATTAAGTAAAAGTTAAGCGCATAATTGTTGATACACTGGCTGTACTAAAATTGTAAATTTCAAGTTTATTAATTTATCACCACAAACAATAATAGCAGTTCATGTCATGATTGATATAATGCATCAAAATCTCTTCTGCTATGATCAACAACATATATAAAAGATGTTAGAAATATGATACCACTAAAAGCTAGAAAATATAATATGGTGAAAAATACTAACATGAACCCGCATTCTTACATTCCCGGTTATCTTTTAAGCATTTGCCATTGTCTTTCTATAACACACAAGCAATGTGGCTCAAGTCAATGAGCTTCTTCAATTTCTATAATGCATATATCATAATAATGAAGCTACAAAGGCATAGAATAAATAAAGTCTTGACATTACAAACTTTATAAATTAGCCAAACAATTGAAACGAGTTCCATAGTTATCCAAGAGAAAAGTAATAAATGAAAATAAACCCGATTGTGAATAGCACTCAAAAAAAAAAAATGATGGACAATATATATATGGTAACTTCTTATTCGATCAAGGAGTTGTAACTTATGTGGTTTTGTTTGATCTTATCCTTATCAACCCCGAATTAAGTTTAATGAACGATTGTCTTAAGTTCTCAAAACTCCTCCACTTAAAATACCTCATGCAAACTTTCACTTAAGCATGTTGGCTCGGACTTCTTTAACCCAATAACTTAATAATTAATTTAGACCATCCAAATAAGTCGGGTCATATGTTTTTGAGGAGGTTTACATTAGAAAACAATTTCCTAAGTCACATTTACAATTTATTAAACCTTAATTAGAAAATTAGTTTCTAAAATAGAAAACTAATTTCTATTTTAGAAAACTAATTTTCAATTTAGGTAATCGACTTTCAAATTAGGAAACCGATTTTAAATAGAAACTAATTTTTATTTTAGAAAACTAATTTTCAATTTAGGTAATTGACTTGTAAATTAGGAAACTCGATTTTAATTTTAGAAAACTGATTTTCAACTTAGGAAACTATCTTTTATTTTAGGAAACTCGTTTCCAAAATAGGAAACTTTTTCCAAAACCTTCATTTCTCTTTTTCCGTATGAATGTTTAAACTTATACATGTGACTCAATAGGCTTTTAAATATGTTTGGATTGTATCAAGAAGTAAAAGATACTTTTTTTTATTTTTTAATACATAAATCAAGATGGGTCTCCAGCAAGTCATCATGACTACTCAATTATCTAAAAGAATTAGTTAATCCGCAATAACTTTTCATGAGTATGGTTTTCATACAATTTAGTCCTCATGTCAATTTATCATAAGTGTGATCTTGAACTTGGTTTATTATCTATTTGATTATGATCACATAAGTTTTCTTTGATCTCTAAATATCTTAGCTTTCAAGTAAACCAACTATGATTTATTGGTATACTTTCACCGTAGCTATAGATTCTCGAGCAAATATTCATCGAAGTATAATGTAATAACTCATTTAGCATATAAGAAATGACATGTCATATCTTAATTTTTCATCTATTTCTATTAGATTCCTAATGCATCTAATGAATTGTCCAAATGCAACTATTTATTGAGTCCATTGAAACAAATGTCAAAGTACATCAATCTTCTAATGAAATAATCATGATGACTTCAAGTCAAATGATCTGCTTATATCCATCTCGTATGAGATTTTTATAGACTATACCAAATATATTTTCATGGCGAGTAATGTCTAATGATATGTTCTCTAATATTATTCACCTATGTGCTTGCTTTGGCATCACCATGCTACTAGGTGTGAGATCTCCTACAGTTAGTTATCTTGTAGCAAGAACATAACACTCACAAGTCTTATTGCATATTGTTAATGTCCAATCTTGACAATGCTATGACTTGAGACATTTAATAATATCATTTATGTGCATTGATGTTTATCTCACATCTATTGATCAATCATTAAGGCAATGCATATCATATGGACTTCTATCTAATTCTATCAAATTATAAATAACAAGAATTAATAGAAGGACTTCTTTATTAATATAGAAAATGCAATAATACAATATATCAAATCATCCAAATAAGTTGAATCTTGAGCACTCGTACTAACATAAATAAGCAACAATAACTCAAGTTCTGTACATAATTAAGACCTACGTACTATTTTAAGAGTAGCAACTAGACACACCGACCTAAAACATATTCAAAGATTACGTCAAAAATTCAATTGTGGAATTTATGGTGCAATTTCAAAGTTTGTTATATTTCAGTTTCAGCACTTCTAGACAATCCCTATTGACTTAGTTATAACTCAAAATCTATAAGATCATTAGCCTTAAAATTTTACAAGCACTTGGAAAATACAAAAGACTATAACATATCAAAAAATCAGATCAAAAGACCAAGTACATAATTGATAAAATAATTTTAAAAAGATCAAGTACGTAATTGATAAAATAATTTTAAAGACCGTTTTTTTTAGCACCAATTCACACACAACTAGTAGCAAAACTGTTTTACAGGAACTTAGATGAGATATAGAGAAGCAACTTTTATATTTACAACTTTGCCTAGTTCTAATCTAAGATCTGGAAATCAGATATGTAAAAAAGTGGTGGAGAAATACATACCTAGTATCCAAACTTGAACATAAGAAAGTCATGTAATTTTAGGCTAGAAAATAAGCTCTCTTTCTCTCTTTCTTTCTCCTTGTCCCTCTCGGTTTTTCTCAATTTTGGGACACCAAAAATCTGTCCCAAACCATCTCTCGCTTTCTTTTAATAGTAATGATCCTTATCATGCTTATTAACAAGCATGAGGCGGCATGATTAGGAGACTATCATAATATAGGAATATTTCAGCACTTTATCTCAACGTCATGAGTTTCAATTTTACGCCTAGAAGATTTCGACCACTTTTATTTTAGGCTTCATGACTTCATTGCTAATTGCTACTCAATTTCTTAAACACAAAAATTTCACACTAACGCCATTTCATGACTATGTTTAACACACACATGTATTTTGCTCCTCTCATAAATAATGCAATTCAACTTCTAATTATATTTATGAATGCTAGTACACGTACTAACGAAGGTAACAAGGTGAATTTGGGACAATAATGTTACATGCACCACTCTTCCACAGACGAGATGTAAAATCATTTTCTTTGATTTGTGCAATAGAGCTAGGATCGACATATTGGGACTTTTTCCACCGGCTACAGGTTAGAGAAAGTTTATGATTGTGACGGTGTGGATTATTTTTTTGAATCTGTGGTAGTGATAAAAAGAAATTTTTATGATGTTAGAAGGTGCTAAATTAATGGGTGCCGGAGCTGCTACAATTACCTTAGTGGGAGCTGGTGTCGGTGTTGGAAAAGTTTTCAGTTCTTTGATTCATTCCGTAGCGCGAAATCCCTCATTGGCTAAACAATTATTTGGTTATGCCATTTTGGGATTTGCTCTAACGGAGGCAGTCTCCCTCTTTGCGAGGAGAAAATTGAAGAATTTGTTTAGAAGAACATAATCTGTCGTTTCTGTAAACTCTTGGTGATCATGGCGGATAATGAAAAGCATTTTGACAATAAGAAATTCAAAGAATTCTGTGATTAGTTTAAAATATCGCTTCGGCTAACATTTGTGTCTCACTTTCAAACAAATAGGCAGACAAATACAATAAACAAGGCGATTCTAAAAGGTTTGAAATGCAAAGATAGAAGCAGCAGGGAACTGGATAGACAACCTGGCAAAGTCCCATAGGCATGCCGAACAACACCAAAAAAATTTTAGTGGTGAAAAACTTTATGCCTTAGTGTACGGAATAGAGGTGCTAATACTAGTACAAGAAGCAATACCGAACAATGAGAAAATGAGATGATGTTTAATTAGATATGGTGGTCGAAGTTTGAGACGATGCTCCAACAAGGATATCAGCAATTCAACAAAGGGTATCTCGGTTCTATAACAAAAGGGTCAGGCCTCTAATTAACGTTCTCATAAGGAGATTTGGTGTTACGTGCGTAGTTTAAAATCAACAAACAAAATACCAAAAAAATTGGGACTGAGCTGACAAGGTCCGTTCAGAGTTACGAAAGAAGTCAAGTCAGGAACATAACACTTAGTAGAGACTGGAGGGGCCGATCGTACTCTCGTTCCGATCCGGTCAGGCCTTCCTCTCTTTTACAGGTCTAAATCTAGTTACAGTCCACAACCCAGATCAAAGGAAAGCGTTAACAATATTAATTGTTGTTGAATACATTAAGGAACCAAATAATTGAAGTTTGGAGATGCCAACAGCCTAATTCCAGCAACAGCTGCAGCACCATTGTCTTCGCAGGCAAGGGCAGCGAAGGAGAAAATTTTTGTAGTCGTAAACGATAGGGTCCCATTTTTAGCTACCAAACGTGTTGTTGTGTTTCTCATGGTCAGTCATAATCCAAGAAGCCCAATTCATTAGTCTTGAGCCGAAGATGTTCAAAATCCATGAAAAATGCAGCCCAAACAAACCCACTAAATCCACAAATGCAAATACAAGCCCAGCTCATAGGTGCAATTGACTTATAAGTCATAATTTATGATTATGATTTATTCAAGTATTCAAAGGTGACAGCCTTGCTTTTGCCTTTCCTTTATTATTATTTTTTTAAAAAAGTCTGCGGAGTTATATTATTCCTTTCGGCTCTTTATTTTTATTTTTATTTTTGTTAATAATAGTAATCAAAGCAGCGAAAACAGAATCAATCAATCAATGGCTCTTACGCAGGTGTTGAGGCGCGTTCTTGGTGGAAGCGGCTCCACCCAGATCTCTTCAGCGGCTAGGGCTTTCTCTTCTGCTCCGTCTCCCATCACAGCTACTCTCTTTCCCGGTGATGGTATCGGCCCCGAGATCGCCGAGTCCGTCAAACAGGTCCGATTGAAGGCTATTTATTTCCCTCTCTCTGTCTCTTAGTATTTTTGTTTTTGCTGCAATTCAATTGGAGTAATTATTTTTTGCATTTTTATGCGTTTTGTCAACGTTGATGGCAGCGAATTCTGTTTCGAATATGTGAATTCATATTGTTGAACTTCTTAAAATAATTTGGTTAGGATAACCTTCAGTACCTCAATTAGGCAAACTGCAGATACCGCTTTTGCGCAAATGTTACTGTTTTGTTTTTATTTTTTTCACTGTTTTCGGAATTCGGTGTCTTAGTATATGATTTTTATGGAGAAAAGAAAGGCTTTCGTATTGATCACATTTAAACGACAACGACACGCATGCATTTTTTTTTTTTTTTTGGGTATAGATGTGGTTATTTATCTTCATTTCCGCCATCATAGGTGTTTCAAGCAGCTGAGGTGCCAATTGAGTGGGAAGAGCACTATGTTGGGAATCAAATAGATCCTAGAACTCAAAGTTTTCTAACATGGGAAAGTTTGGAATCAGTAAGAAGAAACAGAGTGGGCCTGAAAGGGCCAATGGCTACGCCAATCGGGAAAGGTCATCGTTCCTTGAACCTTACTCTTAGGAAAGAGCTTAATTTGTATGCCAACGTAAGGCCTTGCTATAGTCTCCCTGGTTATAAAACTCGGTATGATAATGTTGATCTTATCACTATTCGTGAGAATACAGAAGGAGAATACAGTGGACTTGAACACCAAGTAAGTTTCTTTCAAGAATTTGCTGTTGTGCACTAACGAGTTTACAAGGTGTATAACAGCGCATTAACAAGTTTACAAGGTGTATAAAATTAATGGGATTGTTTCATTTAATTTTGGTTCTAGGTGGTGAGAGGTGTAGTTGAAAGTCTCAAAATTATTACTCGTCAGGCAAGTTTGAGAGTGGCCGACTATGCTTTTCACTATGCAAAGACCCATGGACGAGAGAGAGTATCTGCTATACATAAAGCTAATATTATGCAAAAGACAGATGGTCTTTTTCTTAAGGTATTTCTGTCATAACTTCAGATGTTGCATGATTTTATTTTTTTTAATCTTCGTATTAAGTTGATTTGAACCTGCAGAGCTGCCGTGAGGTTGCAGAGAAGTACCCTGAAATCACATATGAGGAAGTTGTTATTGACAACTGCTGTATGATGGTATAATAAATTTCTTTCTTTGTGTATTTATAAATTGATTAGTGTGTATGAATAAGTGAGGAGTTTTTTTTTTTTTTTTTTTTGGGAAGGGGGGGGGGGGAACCATTGTTCCATCGGTTTGTTCTGTGCTGTTAGCATGGGGGTTTCTTCTCATGCACTATTGCTATTGTCAAGGATATGCTATTATCCTTTTGTTGGAGAATATGGAAGCAACATTTCTGATTTTTGTTTCCATTGTTCAGCTTGTGAAGAATCCAGCACTTTTTGATGTACTTGTGATGCCTAATCTCTATGGTGACATTATCAGTGACCTTTGTGCGGGTTTGGTTGGTGGTTTGGGCTTAACACCAAGGTATTTAAAGATCTTCATTCATCCCTAATAGTATACATTCAGTTTTTCTGACAGTTTTGAATTTTTCTGCAGCTGCAATATTGGCGAGGGAGGAATTGCCCTTGCTGAAGCTGTGCATGGTTCTGCACCTGATATTGCTGGGAAGGTTAGGGTTCTTAATTACTTTACATGTTTTCTTTGTTCTATCCAGAGTTTCTCACTGTGCAACCATGCAACGTGTATGGATGCCTATCCATTTTTATGTTGCTCTGCTTTCAATTACTCGAATAGCTGGTCTTTCTAAATTTGTTGTCTAATGGTTTTTTTCTTGTCTTTGTTCCATGACTGTCGCACTAACCTCTTCTGTGGTTGAATGTGCATAGAATTTGGCAAATCCCACTGCTCTGCTGTTAAGTGCTGTCACAATGTTGCGCCATTTAGAACTATACGATAAGGCTGAGAGGATCCAGAATGCCATCCTTAAAACAATTGCAGAGGGGAAGTACCGAACTGCAGACCTTGGTGGTTCTTCAACGACAACTGATTTTACGAAGGCAATCTGCAGTCATCTTTGAAGATTCTTATGGCGGATTTTAATTTTTCTCTGGGATCCAAATAGTTCTCTATGATGTTCCTTTGTTGGGGCATAGTTTTTGTTCTGTGTTTTAAAGGGTGGAATAAGACCACATTACCTTGATGGTTATATAGAAGCTCACGAAGTTGCTCTTCCAAATATGAGGACGATCGCTCTTCTAAACGTGAGGGTGATATATTAATTTTTTTTAATTATTTTTTTTTACTTAATTTGCATGTTTTCTGCTCACCCCAGTGCAATATTTCCAAATGATCATAATTATTGGAATTTGCCGAAAGGGCTATTATTTTAATGCTGCAAATCCGTGGAGTTAATTATCTTGTTTATCGTTCGCGTTGCAACAAGTAAAGGTTATAACGATGTGGCATCTTTTAGAACTTGTTCATATTTGCATTCCATTTCCAAGACTTTCGAGCATGGCGCTATAATTAAATTTGATGAAGCTTTCTGCATAATGATTTCTTCAAAATAAGTCAATTCTATGTGATCATCTCCTGTTAAGATAATATCATCCGCATACGCTATAAGGAATGCTATTTTTTCATCCATAGAGTGCTAGTAAAACAATGTGTGGTTAGATTGTGCTTGAACAAAACCCCGATTCTTGATAATTCTAGCAAATTTTTCAAAGCACTCTCTAGGAGACTGTTTCAACCCATAAAGAGAGCCCCCTCTAATTCTTGTCCAAATCATTTTAAGACAAGTCCCTACCCCTCAAGCATACACTATTTAACGAATTGTCGCATCTAATTAGCAAAGACATTTAGTCGCCTGCATATATGCATTCATGCTTCATCCTACTCAAAAGCATTCAATCCGAGCCTGAAACGGTGATGTTGAAGCTCACAAATTTGTCCTTGTTAAAACGTTCTCCTCACCATCATTAAGCAGATATTGTGCAAAACATTGATGATAGGTACCACTATGGTGCATGACAATTGAATGCAACTTCTTTGATTCTTTGTTAATAACCATTTACATGTCCTTGATTTCCCAGATTTCTGTGTTGTGATTCAACCAGGGAGCCATACCCTCTCTGGGACTGAAGAAAGTCATATGATAATGGCGTCCCATTGAGAGAAATTGGGAAGTCGGGTGTCCAGGTTGATCTAGAGGCTTGAAGGAGTGGAGCTGGGGCTCGCAATACACTTCCATTCTGAAAGTTTCTTGGAAAACTGGTCATGGGACTAGTACATGGTATCACATGACTAGCTGGATGCACTGCAGGTGAAAGATTCATCACCTCAACAGACGAGGCCACTTGCGGGCTCGTCACACATGGTCCAAGTCTTGGGGGAGGCATCTGCGAAGCTTGTTGGGTTGGTTGCTGGATCAACTTATTAGCATGAGATCCTGTAGCTGTAACACAAATGTGTCAAAAGCTGTTCAGTGTGGAAGACGTAACTAAGATTGAAAGGTTATGTCTGCAAGAAGCAAGCATGTCATGAATGCAAGTAGATACCCAAGAATAGATTCAGCACACATTTTGATATGTACAAAAAAAGAACAAGACTCCAGTCCTGACGAACATCCATGAACAGCTTAGCATTTCAAGATCGGTTTATATCTTCCACTGTGTATGGCTGCGTAGCACACATAAATACCATGAATTTCAACATTCACCCCAATAAAAAACACTAATATGGAACCAGTACTTGCATGATTAGTTCAAAGTATTTGGCAAAATTTACAAACTTGATATCATAAAATTCTTTCCTCCCAAACTCAGCCTTGCATTCTTTCTAAAATTTCAATCTTACCGAGTTCAACTTAACTACCATAATTTTTTTGGAAAAATTTACGAGAATTTCAGAACTTGATACAATCCATATTTCCCCGCAAAATTATCCTTGTTTTCTAAGATTTCAATTTTTAGAAAGTACATTTGGCTCTCGGCTACCTTCCCTATTAAATGGTTGTCCTTGCATGTTCTACAACTTTGCCTCCCTCCTTCCATCTGTCATTTAAATCCTAGTTCAACTAAACCAATTCTACCTTTGTAAAGATAGTCAAACAACAAATGAATCTCATTCAAACTTCCACTAGAGTTTACCGTCCCATACAATATCCAACTGTCTAACTCAATAATGTAGTGAGATTGAAAATTTCAATCAAACATTGAATCCAAACGACACATCTCATAATTCAGTTGCAACACCAAAAATATGTGGAAAATTGTCCAAGTATGATCCCATTCCAATCAAGTTGTGTAGGGTTGCAATAAATTCCAACACTGAAGTATCATTTTGGAATGATTAAGGGTAAGATTGCTCAGTTCTGAGAGTAATCCAACTTACTTTGTTGCAAGGGTGTCTAGCATGTGCTGATCTTCAAACAGAACAAACACATGCAAAAATGAAAACATACTTCCAATATGAATACCTTGTCTAAAGCTCATTGATACAGCCTCAGCCAGTAACTTATTTGCATAAACTTTGTTGAGATTTGTCAGCCGATCCTTCCTGTTTTGCAGGGCTATTCTCTCAGTATCTTGTAGTAACATGCCATACTTCTTGCTTACCTCTTCTAGTTCTTTCTCACGCTGAGATTTGATACGCAATATCTAGTCAACAAGGAAAAAGCATTGGAAATAAACATGAAATCAGAAAACCTAATTGGTTTGAAAGATTATCTAAGATACTAAATTTTTTAAACTATCTTAGTACAAACCAGATCTCCGTGTCTCCCCAAGTCATCCAGATCATCCTTTACAATCTTTAGCATTTCAGCTTGAAGCGAATCTGTACAAGCCGGCTGAGGGAACTCAGGTGTCACAGGGTTATCAAGAAGAGGGTGATTGCTCAAAGATCCTGAAACAGTAGCCGCACTCCTAAAATCCAGAAAATCATTTTTTCTTAGGTCCTGAACATGAGTTTCATTTCCTTCCACATACATGCTGGGCAAAGGTTGCAGTCTCAAATCTCTGACATCAGGGTTAAATAATTCCACTCGGGCTTCTGACAATGGTGAAACTTGAGCTTCTGTACTGGAGGCATGTCTTCCACCATTTTGATAACACGGAATCTCTAAGCCACGTAAACTGTGTTGAGCAATGGATAGAACTGTGGAAACTGGCAGCTGGGATGATAAGATAAGATACAGAACTTAGTAACTTTTGGAAATTACAAAGAAAGAACGATCAGGGAACTGTCAATTGAAATTCTGGAACTTAGGAACTAGAGGGGAGACTGAATGTTGACACTTCAAATATACATGCAGACATTGAATATACAGATGGGTCCATTACACATGTAGAACTAGATCAGTCCTTGCCCTTTATTACAATTACAGGGGACAACAATTTGTCTGTTGAGTGCCGGCCCTTGGAACAATTCAGTTTATATGTGCAGATATAGAATATTCAGGTGGAAGTAACTCACAGTTGGGTCCATTACAAATGTAGAAATATATAAGTCCTTCCCCTTTATAATCATTTCTAAGGGCAATTTAGCCAGTTTTGGTTTTAGTGGAGCATTACTCAATGATAGTCTGTATACCAATTTTGAGGAATAGACAAAACCCAACCAAAAAAAATGATCTTGATGACCAGGATAATAGGGATGTATAAAATAAGCTATTCATCAGAACACAACGAGACTTCAGTTAAGATCAGTTTCAGGGACTGGAAACCGAGAACACTTGAGGATTTCTCCACTGATTTATTCTTATGATTAAAAAAAATTGTAAAAGGAGTTTTACCATCAAACTGCAGGGATCTCATATTAGTTCTGCTGTTACAGCATTTAATTGACTATTGAAGGGATGATCTTCCAGAAATTATTCAAGGTGTTGATATTATTTACTGGATCCTTCAGTGAGCGACATGAGTCAAGGAAGCTTGAAATATAATGTGAATAAGCACATATCCTATATAGCTAATTATGCCTCAGTACATTGTGAAGCATAGAAGATGCTTCCAGCTTGACTAGAGTTGTCCTGAATGGATGATCATTATTGACCACAAACTAAAAGAAAAAATGGTATGTGCAAACAAATATTGCAATTAATATGTTGATCATGATGTATATCTCAACAAAAAAGAATGAAAGAATGCGAATCAGGCTTTAATGAGTTCGAATATGCAACGTCAAGCAGTTCCGCTTGCTCGGTCTGAGAAGTGCATTGTTGGAACTGGATTGGAATGCCAAGTGGCTCTAGATTCGGGGGTTCCTGCTATAGCCGAACACGAGGGAAAGATCATTTATACCGACATTGACAAGATTATTTTATTGGGAAATGGCTATACTGTAAGCATTCCATTACTTATGTATCAACGTTCCAACAAAAATACCTGTATGCATCAAAAAACTCAGGTTCAGCGAGGAAAATGCATTAAAAGGGGACAAGTTTTGGCGGACGGTGCCGCTACAGTTGGTGGCGAACTCGCCTTGGGCAAAAACATATTAGTAGCTTATATGCCCTGGGAAGGCTACAATTTTGAAGATGCGGTACTCATTAGCGAGCGTCTGGTATATGAAGATGTTTATACTTCTTTTCACATACGGAAATACGAAATTCAGACTCATGTGACAAGCCAAGGCCCTGAAAGGATCACTAATGAAATACCGCATCTAGAAGCCCATTTACTCAGAAATTTAGACAAAAATGGAATTGTGATGCTGGGATCATGGGTAGAGACATGCGATATTTTAATAGGTAAATTAACGCCTCAATTGGCGAAAGAATCATCGTATGCCCCCGAAGATAGATTATTACGAGCCATACTTGGCATTCAGGTATCTACTTCAAAGGAAACTTGTCTAAAACTACCTATAGGCGGTAGGGGTCGAGTTATTGATGTGAGATGGATCCAGAAAAAAGGGGGTTCCAGTTATAATCCAGAAACAATTCGTGTATATATTTTACAGAAACGTGAAATCAAAGTAGGGGATAAAGTCGCTGGAAGACATGGAAATAAAGGCATCATTTCCAAATTTTTGCCTTCCTGATGTTTCCGCACATTTTCAATAAAACCTTCTCAGTAAAAGTATTTTAATAATGTTTTCGGTGATGTTAGTAGATGCTATTCGAACGGTTCCTTTTCTATCCATGTCCGCATTTCGTATAGAGGTTATTATGTCAGCAATAGTGTCCCTACTCATGATAAACAAAAATTTTTGTTGCCTTATAATTTTTGATATAATCAACAGACTTTGTTTTCGTTTTTTTTTTTTTCCGAAAGGATCAATTTAAACCCTCTAATTGTTTCTGCTAGACCGACATATTTTCCTGGAAAACCAGTAAATACTTCTGCTACGAAAAAGGTTTGTGATAAGAAACGCCCGAAAATGCTTTTTCAGCGCTCAGAGCTCTTCAAGTGCTAGTGGCCTAGTCTGCCTGCTTAGCTTATCTCTTCTATTCCTACATTAGATTAGCTAATATTTCAAGAGACTTTTAGATAAAAAAAGAACAAAAAAAAGGATTCAGAAAGGTTTAATTTCTTAATAACTTTCCAATAATATGTTACGGATTCGTTTAGATAATGAAGATCTGCTTTTAGGTTATGCTTCAGAAAAGGCCCGTAACTTCCAGTTTCGTTGTTCACCACTAGGATTCTCAAGCAATCAAGTAGCCAAATCCTGATAAAAGAAAACAAGCAAAATTGAAGTCAATGATAAGAATCTGCATACCTGTTGCACAGGAAATGAATTTCCCTGGACCGTTATAGTATCTTGCTGTGCCAAGGATGAGCTGGTCCTGTTACACTCCATATTAGGGGACTCTTCACAAATGAAAGGGACTGCTCTACCACTTTGGTCAACGTCTGATGCATCTGCTCTTACCAAATTCAGAGAATCTTTTTGGGTAGGCATGTCATAAGCAGCATTCCCTGAGACATCATCAACCAAGATCACTTCCTGTAGCTGAGTTTCAGAAACTTCAGAACGTTGCATTACAGAGCCAATCATCTGCACATTTCTAGCAGTACTCTGATTTTCAATCGGAGACGATATAGGGGCACCATAAGCGGAATTATTAACTACATTCTGCTTGCAGCATGTGGCTGGTACATTTTCTGAGACAATTGCCTCCACTCCATCACTCTCTGTATCAGAATCTATGTTGATAGTTACAGCTCCAATAGGTGAAGTGTGGATTTCCTTTTTGTTAATAGAAATGTCAAAAACCTTCAATGGCATAGCTGGTACAGTATCACATTGGTTCTGAATTGATAAGGAAGGTATAGTCTCAGGAGTACCATTTTGGGAATCATCATGAACTATGGCTATGTCACTAGACTGTGTTTCATCTACATTTAACTCAGAGTCCGGTTTCTCAGTTATTTTCTCTAATACTATCTTATTGATCATATGTTGCTCCTCAACAAAACTTGTTGCGGCCTGGGAACTCATGAAATTTTCCTCATGTAATTTCATTTGATAATTGGAATCATCCATTTTATCCTTGATAGGATTATCTAATATCCCAGAGCAATGTTTCTGTGTCATAGCCACACGTTCACGTTGATCTACAAGATTCATACTCTGTAAGCCACTTGGAATTTCTCCCTCTTCCAAATCTTCCAATTTATCTGATAGATGCTGGTTCAGAGAGCCAGTTGCTATTTCTCTCTCTTCCAAATCTTGCTGGTCCAATGTGGTTGATCTGGAACTGCTTAGATGATCTGAGCTCAGTGGTATTTCCCCCTCCTCCAACTCTATCAGTTGATCTGAAAAGTCCACAGGTAACTCCCCCTCTTCCAAATTTTGCTGGTCAGTCATGGTTGACTTTGAAAACTTTACATCATTTGAGGTCATTGGTATCTCTCCGTCTTCCAAATCCATCAACTGGTTTAAATTACTCTGGCCATGAACACCCCCAGGCAACTCAGCCTCTTCCAAATCTCGCAGGTCAGATGTGGTTGACTTAATATTCTTTGCATGTTTAGACATCGTCAGCATCCCTCTCAAATTTTCTGCATGATTGGATTTAACAATCTCTGCATTCTCTAAATGTAAGTCAAATGCTTTCTTAAAACCATGTAGTTCGGAGAAAATGTGGTTTGCCTCATCTTCCTTGCAGTCAAACTTTCAGTGCAGTTTTGCAAGAACAAGTGACTCCTTGTGATCAATTTTGTGTTCCAAGAAAGAAGCAACTGCCCAGCACTGAATATTCCACATTTCATCAGCAAAATGCATACAGAATAATATATATGCAAAGCACAAAAGGCACATGAGTAAGGAATCAAGTTATTTCCCAAAAGCACTTCAAGCTCACAAACAAACAGTTGTTTTTTTTTTCTTTTTATAGAAAAATTAATATGACAAAAACAATCTGCATGTCGTTATGATGGTATGTTTTCAAATTTTCAGACAAAAAATCCAAGGTCAGACTACTTCTTACAATGCAATAGTCAATTACAATGTCAGAAGACGTCTTTAAGTACATGGTTGGTGCTAACCAGTGATATCTGGAAGGCTTGCAATGTAGATTCAGTCTCCCAACTGACATTGTAATCTTTCATTATGAAGACAAGGAACATCATAGCGGCATCCTTGACATTCTCCTGTATACAATGTCACATTTAACCAATTAAGTCATTTTATTTTGTCAAACATATCAACATGTGTAACAATTATATGGGATTGATACAACTTTCAAATTATGAACAGAGAAGCAGCTTAACCATTATTGACCAAAGAAAACCTATATTCATTTATGTATATTAAGATGCTCATTAATTTTCTTGAAATTTTGTTATGCAGGCATGTGAACACACAGACATGCTTGGCTTGCATATGTGAGTAAAACAGTGAAAAAAAATTGCAGTAGTTAAGTAATTGACTATTTCACAAAATATTTCCACTAAAAATATAATAGAACCTTCATCTCTCATCGAAACCTTTTAATAAAAAATCCAAAATCCCTACTAAATTAAAAGAAACTTTATCATTGAAGCCACAGATAAACTTCTCTACTATGCTTCACAAATCTACCCTTTATGATTATGCCTGTGCGTCCATAGGTATTGGACGCAGATTTTCCATGCAAACTTTTTGCTTTGATAGATAAATTTACTTGCCAAAATAAATCAAGTAACAGGGTGACAAATCATTTTCATAGGTAAGGAAAAGAAAGAAAAATCCAACACAAATGAGAGATCAGTAACTAATCCCATCCTCAAAAATCTATCACATCAATCCCTGAAAAGCAACCTTAATGTGTAAAAGAGCTTACTGGAAATTCTAGAATGTCACAAAGCTGTTTTATCTCTTGCTTCAACAAAGAATCAGTGTTCTTCAATAGACTAGGCAATTTATTCTGCTTTGCAGATTCAACCATCCCCACTTCAGGTACTCTGGTAATGCCATCTGCTGCAGATTGCATGGCTGGAGAACCATTCACCTGATTTGAGGCACCCTTTCTATCTGTTCAAACAATGAAATAATTAAATTCATTGCCATCTGATCCCTCTCCAAAGAGAAAGAAAACAGAATACAAGCAAAACCAGGACATCTGATAAAACATATGAAAACCAACTGCTATAGTCAAAGGTTAGTTCTTTTTTGTGTATTACATATACAGAACCAGTACCAGCCACTTTGCATTTCTTGTCTGCACCAAGTAGCTCTCTTTTGCGCTTCCACGTTGATTTCAAATATATAGGATCAATTTGATTGTTTCTCACCTTCCAGCTCTTCTTTACCACATTTCCAAATCTAGATTCCTCTAGCAAGTTATCAACATACTGAACGGGTCTTCGGATTCTTTGAGATGACTCTGAAAGAAAATGCCAACGAGGAAGCATGCCTTTGAGAAGTTTTTCCCAGAAAAAAGATGGTTCGGACTCAGAGTCCATTAAACTTGTTTCTTTTTCACCAACTAGCAAAATATTTTTCTCGTAGGCTCCGTTATTTTCTACTTTTGAAAGGAAAAAGTAGCTGCCAGGGTTGCTTTTTTTGGTACTTGAAGGCAATTGGGCTGTCAACTCACAGAGTACATCATCCAAAAATGACTCTTCAGAAAACATGTTGGATCCAGGTAACGAGTTTTTGCATTCATGGAAGTCATGAAGTTTATTGAATAGGTAAGACGCACCCCAGCTCAGCAGTGCAGAAGCATTCCGGTTCATAGAATTTATGGAATTATCTAAAGTTGGACTTTCTTTTGCAAGAATCAGAACCTTTTCTTCGATTGGTACAACATGAATACAAACGGAATACTTTTAACTGCCCAAAATGTGAATTGAATGTGATCTTCTTTAAGGCTCTTAAGTCGTTCTGGGGGTCCCAGTCACTGTCAAATAGTATAACGATGTCCACTGTGGAAAGTTTAATGCTTGGAAGACATGCACGATTTTCAATCAAGAACACAAACTTTTCACTATTTTTTCATTAAACATGGTCAGTGCAGCTTGCTTCTTTCCACGGGCGTATACTCCACCATCAATCCGCACATAACAATCTCTATCAAATCTTTGCCGAACATAATCTTCCAAGATGTCTCCAACTGAATCTCTACCAGAGCCACCAATTGACTGTCATATTGTAAACTTACAGATGAGTGCATACAAACTTCTAAGCTCAAGAAATTACATACAAAAATAAGGTAATAAGTTGAAATGTTGCGTTTAAAAATACTATTAGACAGTCAGGTCATGGATTTGTAAATGGCAGCATACTGCATCATAAGCTTTTGGCCAAGCCCATAATAGTTTTCTTTAGAGAGAGAGAGATTACATTGAGATATAATCAAATTTGAAAACAAGCATTATATGCAGCCAAATAATAAATCTTCCTTCACAGGAAAGTAAAGGCAAACCAGAGAAAAGAAAGCTAGCATTCTTAGCTGGATTTGGTAAATTTTATCACAATCAAGGAAATTTTGGAAGTACCAAATCTCAAAACTATGGGAAGATAAAAATTGAAAGGGAAATAAAAAATCAAACTGACTACCTGAAACATTATTAAAGCTCTGAGACCCCGATCCTTAACCTCCAGAAGAATTTTGTCAAGTAGAAGCAGTTTTCCACTCACTTGTATCTCAGCATCTAAACATTCTTCGGCAGCAAAGTCTTTTCTGACATTGGTTCGCAAACATTGATCCAGGAGATAAGGGTGGTCACAACACTGCAAAAAAAGACCAAAGTACACTTGTATCATAATGCCAACTGTGTCTTGTCAGATAGTATATCAGAGTTACCTACATGAGCTTAGAAAAAAGAACACTACAGGAGAACAATTTTTTTTTTTTTTTAATAAAAGCAAAGTGTTAAATACAAGTTTTGTTGTCTAGCCAGGGCCAACCTTCCGGGTAGAAATCATAATTTCACGAAGGACATCAGCTCGATCACCGTTCAAGGATGAGCAAAGCAACGTTGAGTTTGAAAGCAGCTTAGCACAATACAGTTCAAGTTGAACATTAGAAAGCCGAACAGGCACCCAATACTCTTCAAACCTAAAGGGGCCTGACTTGCATTCATACACTATGTAGGATGCCAATCTTTCCTTTAATTTGTTTATATGAGTAGAAGAATAAATTTCTGGGTCACCACTTAGCTGATATGGTCCAGAATCAAGGAGGGAAAGCAGATTCAGATAGTCAGTTGAACAATCCTGCAATGGAACCGGTAAATATCTCAACTTTGAGACCATATATCACCAAATGTCTGTCATGAAAATAAAAAATAGTAAATAAAATACCTTGATTTGAGTGCTAACAAGAAGCAGCCTTGTATCAGCAACAAGTATCTTAAATTCTTCGAAATGTCTAGAGACACAAAATCGTTGGCAATCATCTATAATTATTGCTTCCCACTGTATGCATTTTAGCTCTTCCAAATCCTGCATTAATTTCAAGAGGCAAAGAATCTATACCTTTAGTCACTACCTGGGTTATAAAAGTTTTCAACGATAGAAATCAAAATATTATGCTGCCTGTGATTTCTTATGCATTCTCACTAGAGCATCTACAGAAATGAATAAACCATAATATTTCTATGGGAAGGGAAGACAAACAAAATCATGCAAAATTGTCACCCATGAGGAACAAATACATTACAATGAACCTATATCAAGCTGAAAAACTGATTCAAAAAGACAATTCCTTTATCCTGAAGAATTTTGCAAGCGTTCTTTGTCAGTCATTGGACAGGTATGAAACTAAAAACTCGGAAATGATAAAAGGTACCTCAACAACAATGCTGGAAGAGGATAATAAAACTTGGAACATTATTTGACCAGCTTCATTGTAGAATTCCAATGATCTGATGCTTCTGCGGATACCTTTGTTCCCCTTATAAACCACAAGATTGGCAGATGGAGCCACATGTAAGAACTCGGATTCCCATACAGCAAGAACATCGAGACTGGTGATTATGAGAAAAGGCTTCAGAATAACACGTTGCAAAGACACCATGAATAAGATCAGCTTCGCAACCCTTTCCTGCAAAATGCAGTACAAAGTTTATTTTTTAAAAGCCATGCATAACTATTCCATAGACATAGTAAAATAAGCCTCGCTCTGATGGTTCTCCTTGTCAGTATCATTTTTCCTTTTCTCAACAAAAAGAAAAGGTCGCATGATAGAAAAACTTGAAAAACACTAGGCTGCATAGTAAAGAAAAAAACTGAAACAGGTTGAGGGCAAACTTTCAGGGGATGCTGGCATCTTCTAAATATCAGTACTGCTTGCCATCATGATACTTTCCATGTACAAGACAGCACTTTTCTAGCTAAAGGTTCATAAACAATAACTGATTGATACATTCAAACTGCTGCTCACACACAGTCAGATGCACACAAGTCCGCAAACTACCTAAGTGTGCACATTGCATGCAACAACCAATCATCAATGACTCACAGCTGAACTAATTTTAACCACAAGCATGCAATAATATCCTAGAGTCCTGCCAGTTGAGAGATATTGGTTAACAAAAGCAAAAAAATAAATAAAGAATAATAAATATGATATATCACATTTTCAAAGATGAAATGCCTGAGTCAAAAGTAGGAAGATCTGTCGACATGTACATCTGGTAACTGCTTATCACATGGAAAAGGAAGTGAAAGTTCTTCCTTTTTTCTTTCCTTATTTTTGATGATTCTACATCTATAAAGTCAAAATGTCACAAGCAATCCTAGAACTAGCTATAAACTATCATCTACCTGATCTCCGTGGTCATCAACAACAATGGCATTCTGACCTTTGCTCCAATGCTCAAGATGTTTAGAGACATAACATTGATAGTGACTATATGCTCCAGGTGAACATTCAGATGACAACTCTGATGACCTAGAAAAATCAGAAGTTTGTTCCTGCAATATAGCAGAGTGTTTAGTCTTCACTAAAAAATTAATATGTCATCAAGCTGTGAACATCAAGAACATCAGAATTTTGCTTGGAAAAGAGTCCAGGTTATTGCAAACAAATCACAAAAGGTTTCACCTCATGCATAAGTTCAATGTGGAAAACTACAACTCAACTTGACTAAAGCCTCAGTGCAAAACTATTTGGGTTAGGATACATTTCACACAGCTGATAAGAAAATGGGGTAGGGAAAAAATTATAGCAATAGCAAGCTAAACTGCAGCAGTACTGAAATGCACAAGAAAAGAGAGAACTGGATACAATGACTTTATAAGCCTATGATTAATCTACTTTCAGAAGTCCAGATTATAACTGCTAAGCATATCATCAAGCTGTGAAAATCACAAGCATCAGATTTTTGCTTGTGAGAGAGTTTTGTGTATTGCAGATAAATCATAAAAGGTTTCACCTCATCCATAAGTTCAATGTTAAAAAACTCAGAGCGACTCACTAAGAATCAGTACCCAACTATTTGGGGTTAGCTTAAGTTTCATGCAAAAAAGATAAGAACATGTGGTGCAGAAAAAAATTATAGCAATAGCAAGCTAAACTGCAGAGAAGTTTGATGATGCAGAAGCAGTAATGAAAAGCCTGCAAAAAGAAAGAACCAGATACAATCACTCAAAACCTATGATTAATCTACTTTCAAAAGTCGAAATTATGGCTGTCGCACGAAATGTAAAAGTCAAAGAACCTCAGAAAGATAAACCCTAAAGTTGCAACACTCCCGAATGGGTGGTAGGCACCAACACATCCAACTAATGTCAAAACATAGATATGTTGAAGAAGTTACAGATATATGCACCCATGAATGTGGCAACAATAAGCAAATTTTTTGAGTTTTCAAGTCAATTGAAAGCACCTAATCAGTAACACCAGTTTCTGTCCCCCCATGGTGAATTTCATAATCCCTCTTGAGCTTCAAAGCTTCAGGTGATATTAGAAACGAAGCATTCTCCAACTCCCATGTAGCTTGATCATAATCAAGACCAGTCCATTTCACCAGCCACTCGTAACAGCAATCTGAATTAATCTCGCTGTGCCCATGACAGTACCCATCCTTACATTTTCCTAATGATAATGGTCGTTTCTCAAGCAAACGCTGTGGCACAGCCCATTCCATTTTCCACCTTATTATCTATAATGCCAGGAGAAGAAAAAACAACAAAGAGAAATAAAATCATTACCATGATAGAATTAGTTGTTTTATCCCCAACTAAACCATGAAAATTTAGATAACCTTATTTTTATTATTTAACTTTGCAGCAAGCATTCGAGCTTCAAGGAGCAGATTCTTTTCTGGAATCCATTGATTGTAAACATGCGAAAGACCTTGATACTTCACCAAATATTCCTTTCGCCTCGGCATTTCTGGCAAAACCATGCAGACATCATTTTGAAAGACCACTCAAATATTCATACTTGTACAAAGCACTATTTGAGAGGATGAGGGCCAAACTTAAAGAAAGAATTCATAGTGGAAATACTCGCATAATACCTTCATCATCTAAAACAGCATCTCTAATGTCCCAGACGGACTCCAATCCTTTAGATACAGAATGAACACCGAACTCTATCTTCTTTTTGACACAACACATACAGTGCCAAACTCCAGGAGGAACATTATTAAAGGGAGGATCAAGACAAGAAAGGTGGTATTTCCTTCGGCAGCCATTTCCTTTACAGCACCTGAAATTGGATTAAAAAACTTACCAATGAAGTTTATAAACACTAATTACATCACAAGTTTTCAGCCAATAAGGACCGGAAAAACATGTAGATAAAAATAAATTTATGCATTTTCCAAAAAAACATGAAACACTACTAATATTTTGTGAAGATCCAGAAACCTTGCACAAACTATTTTGTGCTGATTAACACTTGAAACTGGATGTAACATATTTGACAAAGACTTGATTACGCAAGGGGGAACTGCAGTAACATACTTTCATTTATTCTTGAACATGTAATATTTGTAGGAAAGGGGGACAAGGATGAGAGGTGTAAAATTGATCAGAGAGTATGGAGACTAGGAGTATTATAGTCAATGCTTGAATAATTTTTTTTTTTTTTTAATCACTCACACACCCAAGGCTCATGGTAGAACTAGGCTACTAGGATTTGAACCCGTGACCTCTTACAAGAGACCACTACTGCTAGGCTACAAGCTCTTTAATGTCAATGCTTGAATTAATAACAGGCAAAAGGAGACAAATATGTTGAATAGAATTTACTTCAAGTTTCACAAATTTGGGAAGAAATTAACTAGAATCAGGTTAACTAACAAGAGTTCTCCCCCAAGCATGCAAACGGCACATGCATTATGTTCACCATCAGTTTTAACTTCTAAATGGGATTCCTCGCCCCATGCATCATAAATGTCCTCTTTGGCAGGTTCCATATTGATTCTGGACATAGATTCCCTTCCATCCTGGAAAAGTGCAAAAGAAGAATAAAAGAAAATAAGTCAAGAAAAATTTGTTTCACGATAACTTCCAAAAACAGGAGGAGTAATGCCCCCACAAAAGAATGAAAAAAACAAGGTTTTCTTGGTAACTGCTTCAATAGTTGCATATTTTGGAGGAATTAAGGTGTTTCATATTCAATGTGCATCAATTTGGCCAGGTACAACTTGTAAGAGTAGGTGACTGGAGAAAAAAAAGGTATAAAGAATAAGAATAGATGCATGGAATATAGATTAAAGGGCACTACCTATTCAAGTCCTAAATGAGCTCTTGCAGCAAAAAATTTAGAGTCAGTTCAACCTGAAGCCCCTTCACATGAAGTGATTATGATCAAGACATACATACAAAGATATCAATAGAAGAAAGTGCATTCAGAGAACACCTACATGAATTTATGTATGTATGTTTTTTGGACATTCTTTGTGCAAGTGTGCTGTGGGCGTCCATAAAGGGAGGAGAAAAAAACAAAGAACTGAAAAATGAAAATTGGTGATACAAGCAGAAATGAAGCAAACGCATGACAGGTAAATGGAAGAGCTCATGTTTATAGACTAGCTAATGCATGATTTAGGTTACAGGCTTCATTGTGAAACAATTATGCATGAAGAGCATCACAAAGACAGAAAGTTTTAGCAGATGAACTACACTGATTTCAAGTAATTAAAATTATGACTATTGATTTTATTGAGATACTTGAATGATGAATAACAGAACATTTCAGACTAGAAAATCAAGATAAAAGGCTTGCAAATCAAATCTAGGGAAGCACTACTACATCCCGGTAGGGGGGCAGCATTACCAGGGGAAAAAAAAGAAAAGAAATAGAATTGAACTTACTAGTGGAAACCAAATAAATTTTAAAGTTTAAAAGTTGGAACTATCAATCCTGATCATTGTATACAACCATCAAATAATTAGTCTATTTTTCGTTGTCATGATCGACACGGACACTATGTCTTGCAACTTATCCAACCCTTCTCAATTTAACAGAATGAAATACCTTCAAATGGTTGGCTGCAAATATTTTGTCTTTAGTGCATCGTTCCTATTGACAGCATACCAGGTTGATGACCGGGCATATTTATATCGTATCATAAACACATACAAGAGGATATAGAGAAAAGAAAAGAATCCCACACTCTGCACCAAATTGATTTGGAATACCTTAGGAAGTGAGAATCCATCCAAGCCATGGCCAGGTTTTGCACTACAAAAGCAATCCTGCTGTTCTGTATCAAAATCTAACCTGCAAAGGTGAACAAAAAGCTGTCAGCCGTTACCAAGATACAGCATCACATCCAAACAGGTACTTATACTCATCAGAGATCTCAATGCCAGCTTTCTAATAAAAAAACCATTTGTCTGCTTTCCATGGCCTGCATACTGTACAATGGAAATCATGATGTCTTAAGGTCAACTAGAAGATCTGGTCATGTTGATCAAAATATCAATTGCACAGGCAGAAGGTCAAGTGACTTTCTTCATGTTGGAAGGTGTTAGGTGGCAAAGTATGGCATACTGCATGGCAAATTATACAGTAAAATAATATTAAAGAAAGGTGGCCTCAACAATGGCAGAGGAGGACTTAAATGGCAACCCAAATAGCGAGGACAAGGCTTCTTAAGTTGAGTCAAGGAGCCTTTTAGGGAACCCGTATGCCTGTTGAAAAGAACTGTTTCCATTATTTCCAAAAGTTGGACCCAAACTCAGAAAAAATTCATGATTCTTTCATGGTAGATCAATTAACGAAAACCAAGCATTCTCCAATATCCTTTTAGATTTAAAGCTCATTCAATTGGCTGTGTTGTTCATAAAAGACAATGCAAAGAACATAAGAAACAATCATTTTAGCTATTTTGAAAAGAACAAGTCAGATAATGAATCCCACTCGGATCAAAAGGGAGCCATCATCATGTGATATATGCAGCATACTGATGGTTCGGTATAGGATGCTACGGGTAGTAGTGGTTGTAATAATTATCATTAAATGTGCATGTATGAAACAAACTAACAAAACTACCCCTTTGAACATCCAACTAGCAGAATTTTCTAAAATTGGATGAAAACTAGAAGTCCAGAGCATGCAGCAAAAGAGTAGGGACATTTAAATTTGAAAGAAGCAAACACAGTACCTTCGTCTCTTTTTAGAGCAGGATGAGCAATTTTCAGCAGGCAACTTCTCAATATCATCGGAAGCATTCGCTCTAGTAGAACCACTTCCAGTTTGAGGTATCCAATCCCTCTTTCCAAGTATATCTAGCAATGAATCCCAACCCCAAAGGAAAAAAAAAAAAAAGATCAAGTCCCAAACTGAGATGTGTTAAGAAATATAATGATATCAATAACTGTGCACAGGTAATTAATCTAATTAAGTGCTGCTGTTTGATGATATCAAATAAACGAGGAAGTAAACCATAAATTTCAAAACATAGCGGTTCATGTCAGGACATTATAAAAACATGTCATCAACAATTTACAGCGAGTATAAAATTTGAAAACAAAAAAGCGGGGAAATGGGGACAAAATCTTTACTTGACATCCTAGCTTGACTTGCACGTGAGCTCATCCATTCTCTATACCCACGGGCATTCAGTCTTTTCTTCATAGAACCATTACCATTATGCCAGATGCCCTGATTTTTAGTGCCACTTCCAATGGTATCTAGATTGAATTCTTTTCTGCTCCCGTCCAACCCATTGTAACCTTTCTCTGACTTCCTCGAGAACTCGTGATTCAACTTTTGCAAATGCTTGGACATCCTTTGCTTGTCAACTCTCTTCCACGTCCTCTTACCTTAAGCTCTCATCTTCTCCTCGGAATGCCTAATGTTTCCAGCACGCGAAGGACGACTTTCCATCTTTGCTTTCAGTTCAGGTGTTTCTCTTGAATAATACCAATATGATGCCGCAAAATCTGAACTCACACTCCTAGATGTCGTTTTCGGGCCATCGGTGTCATCATCTAGAGTAGGGCAACTAGACCCATTACGGCTTCCCATGATTTCCACTGCAATTAATCACAAATTAACAAGCATTATTTGATCGCAGAAACCTTTGGAATGTCCATCACATACCCAACTAAACAAAACAAACTACATGCCTTCAGATAAGAACACAAATTTTCATTTGGAGCACACAATTTCTCTGAACAACATAATTGCGGTTGAAATTACATTTTCAACATGTTCGAAGACAATTATTATCCTGAAAATAATTTTCGACATTTCCGTATCCTTAGCAGAATTCGTTTATAAAACCTTCTCCCACGACTCCAATCATTTAAAAAAAAAAAAAAAGATTAATTGTTCCATAAATGCTAAACAGATAAAATCAACTTAATACAAAAAACGGCTTCCCTGTTCAGCTCCATGGGAAGCCAAGTCAATTACCATAGCAAGATTAAACCCTATCCAATTATTTACATTTACAGAATCAACTGTTATATATATATATATTGACAACGAGGGTTTCCGTACCATTTGGCCGACCAGCAGTTGACGAGTTGATTATCAACATTAAACCATACAAAAACATGTCCAAAACGATGAAGAATTCTATCTATCAAACATCCGTCTTAACTTCGACCATTTTAAAAAAAAAACAAAAAAACACATGACACACAAAAATCTGTTTGTTTAGTAACAGAGGAAAAAAGAAGCATTTCACCTATTTGATTCCAGATTTTTCTTCTATTTTTTCATTCCTTCCTACAATTCTCTGACAACCATAACAAACAAACCAAGACCTCAATATCATCAAAAAATTAAAATGTATATGTATATATCTGCTTCTCAAACTTCCAAAGAAAAAACCTAATAGCAAGCTTTGCATATGCGCATTTTTACTACTAAATACTCGCAACAAAAATCAGTGTTCAGCTTACGAGATTTTTACTATTAACTTGCAACAAAAAGTTATTTTCCTTCCTCTAGTGTAAAAGCAGAAGATTTTTCACCTCATACAAATTCTATGATGGTTCTCAAAGTCAAAAAGACAGTAAAAACAATAAAAAGACAAAAAGGTTTTATTTTGAGAGAGGGGAGAGACCAAATGAAAAGGCCGCAAAAGACAGAAAAGGTGATGAGAAACTTGCAAGACAAGTTGCGCGTTTGTTGCATTAAATTCTTTTAACTTTTTTTTTTTTTAATCTTAAACGGTAAGTGAATTCTATATTTTCTTTTTAATTTATTTATTTTAATCATCTTAAATATCATTAAAATATAACAATAAAAAAACTTTAATATTGAGCATTCATCATTGTAAGTCTCATTAATCCAATTGTCTATATTATATTAGTCAGACGGGTAATAATTCATGTATATTATTGAAGTTTTTTCTTTTCATATTTTTTTTTTAAATTTAACATTAGTCTTTGTCTAATAAAAAAATACGAAAATTGTTATATATATGACAAGCAAAATTGTAAAAATCTACATAAAATGTTGTATGATGATTTTAAATTGAAAACTACGTGCAAGACTAGTTAATCCAAAAGTTTATACGTTTTTTTTTTTTTTGATGTGAGAAGAAAAAATTTCAAAAATAAACAAAACATAAAACACTATATTATGATTTTAATGTGAAATCTATTTATAAGACACATTAATCGAAGGGTCGATATGTTTTTCTTGTTAATTTTAACATCACTCATTATTATTTATTATATGATAATAGCATTCTCGGCACAACTTACGATTAATTAAGAAAGATACACCGAAGCTTTTCAAGTCTGCTTAAATTTGGAATCAAACCCCTTGTTTGAATAGGGAGGAAAGTGAAGGAGAAAAAAATAGAAAAGAAAAGAAAATTTTTCCCTGTTTGGTTGAAGAGGAAAGCAGTGGAAAGAAAAAAATATATATTAAACAAATATCTTTTTGGTGGGATCCATTTTCCTCTCAAAATCGAGAGGAAACGGAGAGAAAAATAACAATAAAGCATACTAGATTTTTTTATTGTCATTTTTGCCCTCGCCTGCCTCATTCGTTGGTTTGCCCTCACCCCACACCCACAGCGCAATAGTCCAACACCATATCCCATGATCCACCATGCGGATCCCACTGCCACCCATAATAGTGCCCACCAAAAGCACCGACCTTTGCTTCACATATTGAGTCCAATATTTCCTACAACCCCACAATCCTACGACTGACTTTCCTTCTTGCTTCTCTCAGCGTTGGATCAACCTGGGTACAGAATCAAGCCTTAAGAAGCAAACCCATCAAGGCCTCATTCATCCTCAGCTTTTCTTAGAAGTGGCAGTGCTTGATTGGACAGTAGATTTGGAGAAGGGAGACTTGATGCTTGATGAGGAGTTCAATGGTTTGTTTAGGGGTAGTGTGATCATTATGAAAAGAGTAAGTGACTGCTGTGGTGGAGGAAGACAAGTAGCTAAAATTGCGAGATGGATTCATTTTCATAACGTTGAAAGAAAGAAAGAAGAAGGAAGGAAGGAAAGAAAATCAAAAGAGTGTGAAATGAGAGTGAGATTTTATTCGGAAGTTTCTGTGTCTGTTTTTGGACAAATTTGTGTAATAATGTCAAAGATTTTTTGTGGGCTAACATTTTGATTCTTTTTCTTGAATGATCTTGCCGTTTAGCAGGGGACCCATGATATTCTTTTGACAAATGGACCTCCTGTTTTTGGCACATGAGTGCTTTATAGATTCTACGACTAATTTCTATAATATTTACTTTAATTTGAATTTTTTTTACATTTAAAAATAAATTTATTATTTTTTAAATTAAATTAATGTTGAATGACAATGAATTTTTTATTAATTTTAAAGATTAAATTAAAAATATTTTTCTTACCATTCTACTTATAAATAATTTAAGAAAAAATTGAGTAATGCTAATATAGTGGTTTGGCAGGCACTTGTCAATCCCATCTAAATTTAAAAATATTATTAGATTTATAAAATTTAGCAACGAAATCTGTTTATTTCATACAGGAGATTGACATTCAATAAATGAATTTTTCTTTTTTCAAAAGTGAGTTGATAATAATAGATTTTCAAATATAATAATAAAAATATTATAGTAAATATATAATAATATATATATTTTTTCTCTTTTTATAATTATTTAAATAAAAAAAATATATATATATATATATATTTATTTTTATCCAAACAATAAATGAAAAATAATTTTCTTTTTTGTCTCGTTTTCTTTCCTCTCTTTTCTCCCAGGAGGAATTATCCAAACAAAGGGAAAAGCTTCGGATGCCTATTGCTATTATTGTGTTAAAGCTACAGGGTATTAAAGCTACAGGGTAGGCATTCTGGCTATATCAACCCTTCACATATGTATATATTTGTCAGACATGAGAAGGAGAGGATGTGACTTGTAGGGTCCACACATTGAATAAGCAAGCCAGGAATCTGCCACGTGGAAATTCGGATAGTTGACTTTCTGATGAAACGCGCCAAAGAAGAAGAAACGAGTGATGATGAAGTGAGTATATTTTGTTCACTGATACAAGGAATGCTTTGGAAATTGTTTACTTCAATTAATTATTATATTATTTAATTTTTGTATTTTTAGTAAAATAATTAGTTTTATTTTAATGTAAATAATTAGTTAGTGTTTTATTATTTTTAAAAAATTTAATATTGAGTCTAATTTTAATAGTATAATTAGTTAATCCTTTTATTTTAACAAAATCAATATTAAATCTTCATATTTTCATATTTGTTTATAATTTAGTTTTTCTGTTGAGTTTTTATGATAATTTAATTTTTTTTCATACAATAACTTTCATTTCTAATTAAATTTTTCAATTTGAAATTTTTAAAAATGAAATGCAATCAATTTTGATCAATAAATTAATTTATGATTTTCAAAATTAGAAATACCAGCTTAGAGAATCATCAAACATAGAAAATAAATTATAATTTACTCTTTGGTGTACTTATGTTACCATGTAGTTTTGCAGTAGCGATTTGACCTGATGATGTTTGCTTCTTTTACAATGAAGTGAGGTAGACTATTCTTCCCGCTATGAAAAGATGAAAATAAACAAATTCTTGAACGAAACTATCTTACGGATCTGATCTGTATGCGAAAGCTATAGTTTTTTTTTTTTTTTTTTTGGTGATTATAGCGGTTAGTTCTGTTGTATTTATAATAAAAAAATATTTGATAAAATATAATGTTAAAAAAAGTTGTATTAAAATTATTTGAGAAATTCATTAGTAATAAGAGGATAGGATGATTTAGAAAAACAAGATTGGCCAGCGCAAAACTTTGACGGATGACGAGCAAAATCAATGAAATTGTTCAAGCAAGACATAGTAAAGGAAGGTTGGTTAGTTTCTGGTGTAAATTTTATTATTTCTCCATCAATATGGGATTGAACGAACTCATTACAATTTTTTGGTCATTTATTATTGACAACACAAACGATTATATAAAACTCAAAAACTTTATTTTATAATATTTGTTTTTGAATTGAAATAACTTTTTTTTTATATTACAAATAGTAAAATATTTTTAAATTAATTTTTACATCAATAGATATAAAATTACTATTTTTGAGTTGAGCTGGGCCATATTTCAAAGGACTTTCAAAGTAATTTTCAAAATTTTAATAAATACCTTTTTTATTAACTTTTGTTTGCCCAACTGACAGATAATGCCATGTTTAAATAGTGTTAAATGAACTGTATTCCTGATTGTCAAAAAGGAGGGAAATGATCCACTCTCAACCATATATGTTATTAAAAAATCATTATTGTTCTCTTTTTAACTATGAACTTGGAAAACCTAAGAGGATCGGATGTGATTGTTTTCGAGAGCCATGTGCGGTTGTTTCAGCTCATACAAAGAGCGTGATTTTCGAGGTCGAAATGGAAAGAGATCGGTACAGACTTTGCGAGGAAATGGAAGGACAACCTGAAGGAGAAGAGAAGGTGAAATTTTGCATACCTTGCGTTAAGTCACGGCCAATGACAAGGCCCCTCCAACAGTTCTACAATAGCATTCCTCCGATATTGAAATAAATGTACTTGAAATGCCGTTGATTTTGATGTGTCTATGCGAGGGAGGGCGTGAGGAATCACGAGTGCATGCGCCTTTTCTATTTTTTATCTCTTGTTTGCTAGACTGAAATTTTCTTCATTGCTAGTAGAAGAAGAGGAAGAGGTTGTTCGTCGAGTCTAACATGGCTTGGCCTTCTTTCGCAGTATGCGTAACGTCGCCTTTGCCTTGTGAGTTATGAGCCAACGGAGCCTTAAAAGTAAATCTCGTCCGTTAACAATGTGAACCTAGGCAGCTAACCATCCGACCTCCAAACCAGGCTATCTGTCTCCGTTTCTGTCTCTCTCTTTTTCATATTTTATCTCGATTTGCTAAATCACTAAAATGTCCATCCATTGCACTTCGCCGTTGGAACAATTTCATCTCCAGCACACCGCCACAAGCTTGTAGCTGCCTTCTGTGAGGTTCCAAGCCAGCGGCATCCAGTGTTTTCACAACAAACCGGATCTGATAACAAGATATCTTTTATTTTGTTTTCTTTAAGCTTAAGGAAAACGAACGTGATCGCTAAAATGATGAAATTCATGCTTACGAGGTGGTTTCGCTTGTGAAAATGTAACCGAAGGTGGAGCCTATATGGTCGGCGGCAATGCTAGAAAATGTAGGAAGTGTACCAATAACTAGTGGGGACGAGACACGGCAAACGACTGTTGCCTGCTCCTTTGAAAAGGTTTAATGCGGGCCTTCAACTAGGCCTTTTGTACGGCCCAGTCGGACAGCAGCTAGGACTTAGGCCCGTTAGTTTTCTAACGTTTTCTCATTTTTATTTTCCCTTTGTTATGCTTAATTTCCTTTTTTATTTATTTTCAGCGAATTTGATGGGTTATTTCCAGATTAATTTTTTGATATAATTTCATTTGTTAATAAATTTTTTTTTAATATATGAATTTTGGAATAAAATTTTAAAACAATGTTTTATTTTTTTAAAATATATTATTATAATTTATACAATAAATTATTTTTATGCTTTTTAAATGGGTGTTTTATTTTTTAAAATATATTATTATAATTTATAAATTAATTTTTTGATATAATTTTATTTTTTTAGTAAATTTGATGCTTTAATATATGAATTTTGAAATAAAATTTTAGAATTTCGGTGTTTTATTTTTTCAAAATATATTATTATAATTTATAAATTAATTTTTTGATATAATTTCATTTATTAATAAATTTGGTTTTTTAATATATAAATTTTGAAATAAAATTTTATAATATTGATTTTTTATTTTTTAAAAATATATTACTATAATTTATAAATTAATTTTTTGATATAATTTTATTTGTTAATAAATTTGGTTTTTTAATACATAAATTTTGGAATAAAATTTTAGAATTTTGATGTTTTATTTTTTAAAAATATATTATTATAATTTATACAATAAATTATTTTTATGCTTTGTAAATGAGTGTTTTACTTTTTAAAATATATTATTATAATTTATAAATTAATTTTTTGATATAATTTTATTTGTTAATAAATTTGATGCTTTAATGAATGAATTTTGGAATAAAATTTTAGAATGTCCGTGTTTTAGTTTTTTTAATATATTATTATAATTTATAAATTCTGATTATATATTTCATGAAATTAGGTGTGAAAAATATAAAAAATAAATCTTTATTTTTTTTTAGTTTTATGTACAGTTTAAAGATGATATAATATATATGATATTTTTTTAAGATTTTAGTTTGAATATGTATATTTGATTATATTACTCTTATTGTTTAAAATTTATTTCTTCAATTATTTATTTCTTATTAAAATTCTCATTAAATTAATTTTTTGATATAATTTTACTTGTTAATAAATTTGTCTTTTTAATATATGAATTTTGAAAAATTTTTGTATAACATTGGTGTTTTATTTTTAAAAAATATATTATTATAATTTACAAATTCTGATTTTATATATATAGTTTTGCTCAATTTTTTTTAAAAAATTCAAAAGTTTTATTTGCTTTTTTATATATATTTATTCAGAATTTATCAGAACCAATTTTGTTGTAGTTTTTATTTTATTCTATTAACTTCAATATATTTCATACAATTTACATGGGTTTTTTATATATATATTTTTCTATTTATTATTATTATTATTATTATATCATTAGTTTTATTAGAAATTAGCTATATATCTGCACATGCAATATCAATTATTTATTTTTTATTTTTTCATATTCTAAAATTTTTTTTTAAACAAAATAAGTTAGATTATATTTTGAAAGAAACTTCTAATTATTTAAATACAAATTTTTATGCTAATGTTATATATATAGTTTGCTCAATATATATTCGATTTACGTTAATCATCGAAATAAAGCTTCTACTCATATTATATCATACGAATCGTTAACGTTACGTATGTGTAACGAATGTATTTGATTAGTAAACAAGTAGTAATAAAAAGAAAATAATATATATAAAAAAAAAAAAAAAAGAGGAATCCGCGTTTAGTCACCACTTCCATTTCCATCGCGTGAAACCCATCCACTCCCCCCGCCGCTTTTCCACCTCCGAAGAAAAAACAAAAAAAAATCTCTGAAACCCTAAAATCATTCAAAATCAGACCCAAAATCCCACATTTTCCAGTCGAAATGACCGATCAGTCGTCTCGTCTAAGCATCACTAACCTCCGGACAACCTCGCAGCTAATCAAACAGACAGCCTCAATCTTCTCGTCCAATCTCTTCACCTTAATCTTCCTGTCTTTATTACTCTTCTCTTTCCGTACATTCATCGAAAATGGCACCCACGTCCTCACTTCCTTCATCGACCGCGACCCTTCTCTCAAATCCCTCCTCTCCCGTCTCGACCTTGCCGGCCACCACCAACACCAACACCACCACCACTACCACCACCACCGCATTCACCATCGTCTCCCTCGCCGTCGCCGCCCCTTCCTCCACCTCACCCGTGTTGGTACCCTAGATGATGATTTCTTTTCTGCTGATGACGAATCTGATTCTTCCCTCTTCCCAAAGTTCCCTCCCAATGGCAGTTTCGTGATTCTCCACAACTTCGATCCCAAATTTGGATTCTCCGATTTCGTCATCGACAACGGGATTAAAGTTCCGGAAATTGTCCGGTCTGGTATTCAGTTCAAGGCTGCAGAAGAAAATCATTCGTTTCTTGATAATACAAATAGTGATAATGAGATTGAAAGCAGCCGCGAAGATTTTAACAACAATGAGAGTGGAAAAGAAGGAGAGGAGAAGATTGTGGATTTGCACTTTTTGGTAAAGGGATTGGAATTGGGGAGGCGAGACACAGCTGCCTTGTTTTTTCTAGTAAGTTTTCTATCTGCTGCTTATGGTTGGGTCATTTTGGGATTTACAGCAATATATTCGTGGATTTTAGGAATTGTTTTTATTGTCGTTGTTAATGATTTGTTAGGGAGATATGGTTCGTTTGTTGGGGTTGTTTGGAATGGCTCTAGATTAGGGAGTAAGAGATTAGCTGGGTTTATTTTGATGAGGTGGGCAGTGAGGGATGCTTTGACTCAGTTGGTGGGGTTGTGGTATTTTGGTGAAATCGAGGATCAGTATTCGTTTTTTAAGCTTTTTGTGAGGTTGAAAGTGATGCCGTTTTCGGTTATGTTTCCATGGATCAATGGGTTTGAAAAAGAGATTTCGGGGTTTTTGGTTACATGGATGTTGGTGGATGTGGTTGTGGGTTTTATATTTGCTGTGGATGCTTGGGTTACCGTTGTGGATACGAGGAGGACTGGGAGAGAGATTTTGAAAGAGGGTTGTTATTTGATATCCACTATGTTTCATCAGGCTGTACAGATTAAATGTTATGAAGAAATACTTTGTGGGTCAGCTGCAAGATGGGTTTTCGCTCGGGTTTTCGGGAAGTTTTTGGCCACTCTTTTGCAGTCAGCTTTTGAGGTTTACTTTATGGTGGCTTGGCTGATTTTTTACTTTGTGACAAGGTGTAAGGAAGCTGATTCTGATGGAAGGAGGTTTGGGAGGAGAGAGTTGGAGGGGTTAATTGATGGCCTAAGATAATAACCGGCGGTGAGGAGATTGCTGCTCTTCAACTTGCAGGTTGCTTCAACTACAATGCTGAAATAGCAAGTGCGGTAATCTGTCAGTGGGCTGGGTGTGTGTGCCTGTTTTTTGAATTCCTAGTGAATCAGCACTGCCACTGGTTGCTGTAGCCACCAACAATGTTGTATGTATTTTTATCACGAGGCAATATACAGCTTGTGTATAAATCCACGAGTGCTTCATGTGTATATTTGTTCAAATCTTTGTTCTAAATTCCTATCAATACTGTTGCTGCTGTTGATCATGATATGAATGAAGGTATTTATTTACACCACCCTGAGTATTCCTTATGCCATTCACCTTCTGATGTTTGTGATTATTGCCTTGTTTGTGTCTTTGTCATCTAAGTTAGCTCAGTGGAGTTTGGTTCTGTTGTGCATTTCATGTGAACTTTTTCTTGATGCTCCTTGCTACTTCTTAGAAGAAACAATCTTGGCCGTGTTATTCTTGCAATAAATTAAGTATGTGTATCAGAAACAAATTGAAAGAAACTTTATCACTTACTGTAAGGCCCTGTTTAGTAATGTGGCAAAGGCTTGCTGTGTCGCTGTCTGATTCCCTTGTTAACTTTTTGGTAGACCTAAAGAAAACATTAGGTATTTCAAAAGGCTGTCATCCGTTTGGTAGCGTTTGGATGCTGTCCCATTTAACTTCTGTGCCGGGACACAATCCATACTCTACCTTTAAGTCTACTTATTGCAGTGTTGCTGAGCTAATACGGAGTGTTCCTTCAAGGAAAATGGATTTCACCTGAGAAGTATAAAATTTATCCACGGCATTCATCAAAAAGCTATGGTGAGATTACTTTGTTTCAGTAGTTTATTCTGCTTTCTATATTGTTTACCAGTGTGTTTAGAAATAGCAAGTGTGGTGATATTTTCTGAACTGATTGAGATATTTTCTGACTTTCCGTGTTTACTTTGTGACTTCTCAAGAACTGTGAGAATCTTAGGAAGAGCATTAATATTGGACTTGTTTTTGGAAGAAAGAAAGTTTATTGTGATTGTTCATAGCCACTTCATTCTTCAGAACCATAGCAGAATCTTTATTTGCAAAACAGATTAAAAAAGAAAAACTTAAGTAAATAAATGCCCTATCAGCATTGTAGATAAATTTCTTTTAGACATGTTATAGACTGATAACAATTAACTATTAGGGTCATTATCCTTTTTTCTTTTAATTAACCTTTCATTCGTGATAAATCTTATAGCTATTATGACTCCACTTTAAGGTCCAGCATAGGTTTGAGATTGAAATTTGAAGCCTAGTTTGGAGGCTGTTAAGGCAAGACTTAATTATTTGCATTTTTCTTAGGGTGAAGACTTGACTCCATTTTATCTAGTAATGAATGAATTGAACAAAAATATTTTAGCTGTATAGTAGATATCAAGCAAATTAATTCTCTGGTTTATTTAGAAAGATCAAGAATTTAGGTCAAAAGGTGATGAAGGAGGGTTACCTGTCTGGCATTAGCGGTGGGGTATGCAAAGAACCTTTGATCATTACTGCTAGGAATGCTCAATACCACAATATTCTAAGATCTAACTCTTGACACATTCTCTTTGCTTTTCCTTTCCTGTTATTGATTTTTAAGGTAGAAAGGGACTAAGGGCAGAACTTGCCTGCTTGTCAGTGCTTGATGAAGTCTATAAGAATGAAGTCGTTAGTGTTATGGATGGTGATTCTGGTTCGAGAAAGGCTGGCATAGTTGGTGTGCAAGTATTTTAGACATTTGAGATTTTAGATGAGGTTAATTGTTTCAGTTCTTCGGCTTCTTTCTCTTTTTTTTAAGTGGTATACACAAATAGTGGCATAGAGTTAATACCAGGAATGAATCCAGTGTTGGCATTTCAAATTCTGGTTAATACATGTGTTTGAAGAGGTGATAGTACATATTCAATTTGGTTCATTTTACATTTTATCAATGATTCAATTTGCTTACATTTCAAGAGTGTTTAAGCTGAGAAGTGTAGTGATGGTTCTTAGATTTTACCTATTCACTTTCTGGCTTATCTTAAGAAAGGGGAGGATATCAGAATGTGGGCAGTGCTTTAGATTTGAGAAAGGCTGGTGTAGGGGGTGTAAAGCTTTTGAGGCATTTACTTCTGGTTATTTCCAAGCCTCCCCCTTACTTGCTTGCTGTGTTTGTAAAGGTCGGGAAAATTTCTTTGTAGTTTTCCTTTGAACAACAGAGAAATTCAGTCATGGAGATCTGTTTTCAATATTTACACTGAACAGTTAATAGGCATACTTGCAACACATTTCAATATACCCAAGTGCTTGAATTTTCTTTTCAATAGACTATCCTTTTCCACTTCTGGATTATGCAAACCTTTTCTCTCCCCATCTCTATATGATTTCAAAAGAAGCGAGTTTAGTTTTGCATTTAATGGGGACTTTTCTTTGTTGAACCTTGCATCGCATTAGGACCAGCAATCTTGGTTGTGTCACTCTTCCAGTGAATTAATTATCCGAAAGAAGCACATTGGCCTCTTCACTTATGCGGCAAGGGGGTGCTATGTCACTGTATCAATCCCTTGTTAATTGTTTTGGTTTAACCTTTAAGCAAAAAGAGAATTTTACCATTTTAAAAGGTGGTGCAATGCAGTCATTCCTTACTGTTGAGTTATGGGAAAAAAATAAAAATTCACAAACTTTATCAAGGACATTTGTGAAAGAGATAATAAGGGGGAGATTAAGTTGAGGTACTGAGGTTACTTGTTTTTATTATTTTCCTATCTGCTTTCTTAGCATTTAGTTTGCCTGTAGATGGTGACAATGTTCTTCTATGGTGTGACAAGAGGTGCTGGTATATTGTCAATCTCATTTGTCTAAGATCTTCAATTTTAGCCATTATTTTTAAGTGATGCTTACATTTGTTGAAAGTTGAGAAGTTCGGTGTTGAAGTATACTCAGCGTTGGGTGCTGGGATTTGGGAAAGACAACTGGTTGAGAAATTCTCTGTTTCTTTCGGACATTATCTCAAGAACACTGAGGACATTAGAAATAGTCATCAAAGTATTAGACGAAGTCTTGAAGAACGGAGTCACCGGTGCTATAATTACTAATTAGTGCTTTAGATATAAGAAAGGCTGGTGTAGCGGGTGTGCAGTATCTCAGGCATTGAAGTTCTGAATGTTGCAACCATTTCAATCGAGTAGGCAATGACCTGTGCATACTTGACCTTTTACTTACCTGAAGTCTGATGTCCTATGCGTACTTAAACTTTTTACTTGCTTAAACTCTTTCAGATCTTGGTATGGATCCATCGCTCTAGCATTAAGAAACTAGTGACCTATCAACTGTCTCTGTATCTATGATGATCTGGGGGTTTGCACATTCTTCTGGCTGGTTCCACAGGAGCACCGGCAGCCACTATTGCATTAAGAAACTAGTGACCTATCAACATTCTTCTGGCTGGTACTGTTTTTCCTTCCCTTGCTAAACTAAGCATGCTTTGCTATCTGATACCTTGAGTGTACGAACACAGAGAATAGGCAACCCTCTTATCGGAACGAGCATTTTATGAAACTTTCACATAATTTTGATCAGTTTTAGGGTATCCAAGAACATAAAAAATATCTTTAAACAGTAACCGTTAGCTTCCTGAAAAGGGTCATTGCTAAGCCAAGTACTAGATCATTTGCCTCCCCCCATGCATGGTCCAGCCAAAAAAAAACCTTTAATTCTCCTCTTACCAGGTGCAATTATTAATTTGCTGAACGAATGCCTGGACAAACTGCAGGAATATTAATAGTCAGTGTTGAATCATATAAAGCCAGAGTTTCTGAGACATCCCAAAGGAATTAAATGTTTGCTTTTAGTTTTTCTCTGTAGTTAATGATGCTACAGTTTGCCAAATGCAGCAGTTTTTCTTCATTTTGCTGAGTTCTTTGCTTGGCAGCGTGTTTTCTGGTCAAATGGTTTTGATTGGAGATTACAGCTGAGTGAGCTAGAGCTTGCAATCTATGAAAATAGAGAAAGAAAGGAGTTAATTCAAGGGGGGTTGAAGGCTGTAGGCAGGGGAGGGTAGAATATTCTCTCTCTTCATTCCCTATTCCCTGTTATCACATTTCTCTTTGCATCACCAAGTCATCATGCCTTCTGCCAGAGCTTTTAATTAGAGCGATAGCACATTGTTGGCTTCCACTGGATAGGTGATTATGACCTAATTCTCTTCGCTTTTCATGCGACGAGCATGATCCCCTGCTACTATTTCCTTTCTGACCTGCAGACACTGATTTCACATAATGATTCTGCAAGAATCTGTCCATTAAACCAACATTTCTGGCCTCACCAATATTGACCCTGCGTGGCAATGCCTTCAATTTCTTTATGATGCCTCTTGCAGTAACAAGCACATCCATTGACCTTAACTGCTTCCCATGTTACAGTATTCCATAGCCGTCATTAAGGAGCAAGTCTTAGACCGTACAGATACAAATTGCTTTTAAAGATGTGATATAATATTGGCCATAGCTGAGACCGTATACATTCCGTTTAGTTATGCACCGTAACACGTATTACGAACACTGCATACTTGGCCAGTTTGCTCTTGAAGTCAAGTTGCTGACAGCTCTTGCGTATCAAATGCAAATTTGATCTCACTTGAAAGCTGTCGTAATGCAGTTAGTGCTTAGGCCTTGAGTACAGAGCTCTCATTGAGTAGGTGTAGTGTAACAGGTTCGTTGTATTTTATTTAAGCTGCATTTTAACCCTTTTTGCCCCTTGGAAGCTGCAGGATTCTAAAGTAGAACAAAAAATTACCGTACTTTTGAATTGAATTACAATTATGAGCTAGACAATATTTATGTTACAATTCTACATAGTGTACAGCATATTATGGCTACATATTAGCATTAGTTTAAGCCTCATGAATCAATCAATTTTTTTTTGCCTTTTGCAAAAGCTCTACGTACGGATGAATTCTTAAAGACCCAAACAGGTCTTTCGATCCTGTGGAGAGCCAGCGCAGCGAACAACATCAAGGAAAATGTTCTCATCGCAAGGAATGCAGAGTTTGGAGTCAGCAGTGAAATCATATTCATCCTGAGCTTGATCCAGTAATGCCTTGAAGAGTGGATTCTTAAGTAAGGTGATCTTGATCACAAACCGCTTGTTTTTCTCACCTACATAGACCACTAAGTGACCCTTTGGGACATCTCTTGGAATCGATTTCCCTTCATGCATGGAAGGCCACAAACCCCATTGGTACTCACAGCAAGGCATGACTCTGCTTCCCATCTTTCTCCATTTGTTAAGGGATGCCACAAGAAGGTTCCTCTTTGTATTCTTCATATTGTTTGTTTATACGCAAGGAAGTTAAAGAAAGGGGGGGGGGGGGGGGAGAGAATTGCTGAAGTATGTATGAAAGAGAGCAGAAGAGGTGGGGGTGGAGGTATGACAGTGAAAGAAAAGGCTTATATAAGTGTAGAATCGGGAAGAAGAAGCCGTCCTTTTGGAGCAATAAATTTTGACATGACGGGTAGCTAAGAGGATGAGTTGAGTATTGAGTAATGACATTTTTAAGCGTATATATACATATTTATACACTACATTTATGGTATTTATATACTTATTGTATAGTATAGTATACACAAATATAATAATATAGTTGCTGCACTTTGCCGTGCTGTACGTACCTTCCTTCGGTTTTTAAAAAAGCATTGCATCTTGTTACGAAAGTGTACGAACATGCATCTTATGGTGCAAAGTGATTAAATTATTGTCCAGATAGAGGGTAAAGTCTTGTTCAATATTTTCTCTTGGCTCTCTTTAGTGAGGATGGCGCTTGATCAGTGATCTTTCGAAGTTCTCGAAGTTAAGACCCCACAAGTTGAGAGAGTGGGAAAGATAAGATATGGAGAGATGGGATAAGCTTCTTGGGCAAAGTGCGATCCCACTTATTTTTGTAATATATGCATGTTCTAATGGATATAGTAATATATATATATACACACACATCAGTTTGCTCTGAATTCTGATCAGAAAGATAACTTTTCCAGCTCAGTTATGAAAATGTTAAAAAGAATTCAATGCAAAATGTATATAACTGGGTCCTGTTCAAAAAACAATAAAATGCCTTGGCGATACTTTCCTTTATCATCTTGTTGGATATGGCAGCCAGCCTTACCTTACTTTCTTAAACTTATCTTAAAACATGATTTTTAGGGTTGAACTTATGTACTTTCCGTACAATGGTGTTGTTTATACGGGATAAGTATTTTGGAATCTCTGCAACCTGACCATGCATGCAGGAAATGGGCTATGGTTTATGTACTGCAAAATGGATGGAAAGAAAATATCTTAATATCTTTCGGTTACAGAGCCGGATACCAGAGACGAGGAAGAGTATGGAATTCCACGCTTTGAATCTTTGCAAGGATCATTCAATCCCTCAAAAGTCTCAACATTCCATATTTTTAATTTAGCATTTCTTAAATTGACTCCATCCCCTTTTCTCTTACCTACCAAAATCACTAGGGTTAACTTCTTATTATTGCCTGGATAAAAGTTTTGGTTCCAAAGATTCTTAGAATAATAATGGTCAAGCTTGAATATTCTCCTGCGACTAGCTAGCTAGGGTAACAGAGAACTGTGCACGTTAGCCTATAGCTTCTACCCTTGTTGGTGGTATTTAAAAAAAAAAAAAAAAAATTGCCTTCACTACAAATTTTTTTCTCACCATCCATCTAGAATTAAAATCTCTGAAAGATAACGTCCAGATTAGAGCGTGAACTCACTCAATTATCGTTCAAGCTAAGCCTCGAAGGATTTTTCCTATATATACGGAAAATAGAAATGCTAGAAATATTCAGGGGCGTAACTAGGGGGTGCAGGTTGGAAGCTCTGGCCTCTCCAAAGTTCATAATAGTCCTTAAAGTTTAATATTTATTTCATATAAGTTTTACATATTTTCTATAAATTGACTGCTTTTTAGTTTAAAAAAAATAAAATAAAATTACGCGTTAGTCCAAATCTACAATTATAGTATACTTTTCTTGTGTGTAAATGATTTTTGTATTTCAGTATTTTGATATTTTTTGTCCCCCCCAACCTCATAGAAATATAGGTAATAAAAATAAGGTAGTATTATTGTCGTGAGGAAGGGTTCGGTGAGAGAGATGATTGAAAAGCCAGCACATTGGTTCATCCCCTGAAGACAGTGTTTTGCAGTAGCAGTGTGGTCGGGTCGAAGGTAAAACAAGTCCTCACTTGTACACGTCAAGTGAATAAAACTGCCGACGGTTTTGCAGACATTTTATAGGTAGAGAGAAAGGGTTAGTCCATGTTTCATGGTGTCAAAAAATGGACCTGTCTTAATTCTGTATCGTGGTTTTTAATGTTCTTCGATGGAAAATATATACGTCAGGTTCAGCTGTATCTTCCTTGCTGTGTAACACTCACTTCCATCTGGACTACCCTGTGCGTAGTAATCCAATCCAAACACGTGGTGTACGTATATTATGAAATAGCTTGATTTTAGTATTTCTGATTGGATATTTCTTGTGGGTTAAGTCCTCTTTTCATTGCTTGTCGATCGTGGGACTCATTTCATGTGAGTTTGTGCAGGTGAGCCCAGAGCTTAGGCAAAAAGTGGAGGAAAATAGTATATTTCCGGTTTTTTTTTTTTTTTTTTTTTTTTTTTGAAAAATCAGTTTGATTACGAGGAGAACTAGATAATTGATAACCAAATAAAAAATTACAGAATAAAAACAAGAAGAATTATAGCCAATTAAGATAACATTTTGTCTATTTATTCTTTTTTAGTCAAACTATCATCAACTATATTATTGTCTTTTTTAATTCTACTAAAACTAATTGATTTCAAATAAGAATCAACCTTATAAAAATATATTTAATAGCAAAAAAAGAATATATGGCACAGTAAATAGTTCATGTATATATTTTGTTTATTGTTAAAAATGAAAATTGACTATTGAAAGCAAATGAACTTGATTTTTTATGTACAAATCTTTCACAAATGCGATTAAATGAAGTGCCTAATAGTTTAAAGAGTTTTATCATACTTGATCCTTGTATTCTTTCAATTTTTTTGATTAGATTGTTCTTTTCTTGTTGCTGTGATAATTGAATCCTTTCATTCTTTATTTTATTTTATAAAGATCCTTCTGTCATCAAGTTATGATTTCATAAGCATACATGACATTTTTTCTATTAGAGTAACTATTCTAATTTTGAAATTATGCAAACAAAAAATAAAAAATAATCACATGAAAGTTAACTTCCTTTAATTAATTAGGTCGTTTAGGTTATTTTTTTTAATCATTTAATTTTAACTGCAAACAGGTAAATTTTTTTTTTAAAAAAATAGAGAGTTATTAAATTATAGATCATCAAGAATTCAACTCAATACTTCCACCAAAAAAATGTCATGAAGGCGTAAAAACTACAAGCATGTAAAAAAAAAAAAAAAATCTATTTAATATAAAACAAAAAAACAAAAGAATTCAAACCATACGAAAGAAAAAGCTCTAATAAAAAAAATTAGAAGAATGCATGCCCAAATCTGGCAAAACCCTTAGTTAAAACTTTAGAAATCCACCTATACATGCCAGCTAAAAGGAGATATTTTTCCCAATGGGAATATTTATATATAACTTAAAAAACGCATTAGTCTACTGCTTCGAACTTTTTGAGGTTTAATTGTGTCTGAAGCGAGCCAGGGAAGCTGTTAGAGAATTATAGAGGAGAAGTGAGAAAGCAAGGATGGTAGGATAAACTTTAGTTTGTAATCTAGTGAAAATGATTTTTTAAAATAAAAAATTATAAATTTTAATTTTAATAAATTAGTTTTGTTCAGAGTTTGAAGCGTATGTGTTAAAAATATGAAAAAAAAAAAACAAAAAAGTGGTAGGATTATAGATAGGAAGGGACGTATAGCACATGAGGTTGGGCCACTAAGAGTGAAGGGCTCACGGGTAGGGGAGACACATGAAGTAGGAAGAGCAACAGAGACAGCAAGAGGAATTGATGCACTAAAACCACCAGCTTATGCTTATTTATGGCTAAGCCCACCGGACACCGTGTGCCACAACGATTTGATTGGACTCTCAAAGTTTCAGCCATTGCACGTGCAATTCTCAGTTGTTATTAGCTGGCAACTCTCTGTATGTCCAAAGTCTAGCCATTTCCAATATATATTATTATTGGCCCAGACCACCCCACCCATAACTTCCTATAACTCCCTCCCATGCTTCCCTAGAGGAAGCCATGGCCTCAGATTTTTCATTTTCATTATTTTATTTCTATCAGATTCTGAGTTGACATTTGCCAAAACAAAGACAACGCAGTATGCCCACTTTCTCATACTTCATTTGAATTTCTAACATTGTTTTATTTCAAAATGTATACACTAGTAGTATTTTAGATCATTCAAATTGGTATATCATATCATACATTGGTTATGCCCCTTTTATTTGTTTTTCATAACAAAAATATGTTTTGGGTTTGCTTATATATTTTACTTGCAGTCGGGTCTCAATTCTGGATTTGCTAGAAAAATTGAAGCATGAAATCCTATAAATGTTGGTATATTAATAAAAATATAATCGACACGTGTTTCTCACGAACCACCTTATCAAGAATTATATATTCCAAATACGTTTATACAAGACCTTCTTATTAAAGAAACCCCATAGCTGAGAACACTTCAAACTTATTGATAATATATGGGTTTAGTTATTTCTTCCACGTAAAAGAAGCACAAAAACAAGTATTAAATGAAAGAGACCAATACCTACAAGACATTCACTTAAAAGGATCCTTAACATACAAAAACTCTAGTCAAAAGTCGTTGCATAAATAGAAGGAAAGACCTTTTAACCTTCGAGAGAAAGATGAGCATACCCTTCACTCTACGCAAATTGATCATCCCCTACCACCATATAAAGGTTAACTTCACACATGCCGAGAGATTAGGTTTTTCCTTATACACTCTACACATACAAACTAACATTATATATCTTCTCTAAATATAGCAAAAAGCATTTTATTAAGCCTAATCGAGCCAAACTCACCTAAAAATATGCTATTAAGTCTAATCGGACCAAACACCTTTCTTTGTATACTAACTTAGCCATTAGAAGATCCTCCAAAACCCACGAGATAACTTTATGTTGTAAGTTTCGTCATAGAACTCTAAGATAAGGACAAATCTACACCTTATGATTAGTCAATAAGAAACAACATTTAACTCGTTCAAACAATTTGAGAAACTACCACCTTATTAGTGGCGTCATTTGTGAATAACTAAGTAAAACATCGATCCTAAATCA